CTCTGCTGTGTTTTGATACTCAACAGTATTTTTTCTTGTGTGAATAGTTTTATCCTTCCAATAAGTGGCCATATAATATCATTCTTTAGAATGTTCTTAGATGCATTGTAGATAACAAGTGAAGGGAAAGCACTTTTGCTTCTGCTGTTTCTGACGTTACTGTCTTACAACTGATAGGTAAGGAAAAAATAGGGGAGATGGGACAGTGAGCCTACCTGGAATAACTGGAAGTAAAAGCAGATAAGGGAGTACAAGAATGGGGCTAATTTGGAGCTTATTGGCAAGATGGTTGTTTGTTCAACCCAAATGTTTTGGACTGTCAAGATAGAAAGTATGTATTGACTGTTGTATTAAATCAAATGATCCAGATTATACATGGAAAAGTAGAGAAAATTATTGTATTGCTTGCAGTTTAGCTTATAATAGTGTGCTTTATTTGATCCTACCTTTCATTGTATGGAGCTTATCAGTAGGTTTTCCAGCTATGCTGGCGAACTTGCTTGAATAGCAAGCCTTCAATTAAATCTGGTAAAATGAGCAGAGTCTATAGAAATGTGGAAATTCCTGCTGAACTTTGTAGAAATTGCAAATCTTAAAGCTGTGAAATGATGGTGGCTGCTGTCTGCATCTGTTGTCCTTAATTTAAGAATAATCTGTTATAATGGCAATAGAATAAGTCCTCTTTTTGGAGAAATTAGCCAGTGCTGAATGGAACAGCAGTCCTTGATTTCTTTTTAAATTTTTTATTTATTGTGTGTAATCACAGTGGTGATTTTTGTGATGTCCTCATCTAGCTATTTATGCTCAAATATTTTTAGAAAATGATTGAGATGAATTTTCTCTTTTGCAATAAATTCCTATTTTTTAGGTGCTATAGGAATCTTTCAGTAGCTTTTTCTATGTGCCGTATTTGGATGCCAGCTCAGTGTAGCATTTTCCAAATGCTAAGCTCATTTGAAAAAAATATGATTCTTGTTGCAACTTCTGACAATAATTGGCCATATATTAAACTGTTGAATTTAAGAACTTCTCATAGTATACTAAGGACAAAACAAAAGAACAGAATGAACGCACTTCTGAGAAGATGTAAAGGCCCTGAAAAAGCACATCTGTAACTGCACACTGCACAGCACACTGCTTGTCACGCCTAAGCTGTGGATTGCCTTTGGGTTTGGATGACATTGGCTAATCTTCAATAGTTCCATAGCCCTAGCTTTAGTCCTTTTGTCGCTGCGGGTTTGGGGTTATTACCAGAGCTGCCATCTGACATTTTCCAGAGGAGCTCTTTTAGATACGAGAAAAATGTTTTATAATTATGTGATTGTTATCTAGCCTGAAGATGAGTCCGAAGTGGCAAGGCCAGCCCACAAAACACATTTAGATGACTGCCATGTATTGAATTAGCAGTGGGAACTAGGACTAGGCAGTGTACAGGAAAGAAGCTGACTGGCAAGGGCATGTCTTCAGTTTTGCAGTAAGCTGAATATTTATCTTGTCGATTATAAGTAAGTGAAGCTTATCTAAATCCTGCAGCTTAAGTTGGGGTATCCCTGGCAGGAGCCGTGGATGTGTTCTGTAATTATAAAGGTGATATATTAAAGTAGCAGAAAAGTTGGTGAGTGGGTAAGGAAGGGATATCATGAAGCAGACATGCTGAAGTCAGGCCCTTAGGTAGTGTCTGTTAAAGAATGTGTACAATACAAATGCAGAACCTTAAGAAGTGTAGTATCTTGCAAAGTCATGCTTTTGGTTGAGCTTAGCACCACACTGCAGTCTTTTCTTTCTGCTTTTTATTGGAAATTGTACAAGAAACAGCACAACTTTAAATTATTTGATGTCAGACTAATATGGTGTGCATAAACTCTTATCAAACACATGATGTAAACAAGAGTGTCTTGTTTTTCTCTTACTATTACAGCCCAAGATCTCTACAGTGCAAATTCAAAGCCACATAGTTTGTGAAACTCTGAAAACTCCAAATGATTAAAAAGGAGAGGATGTATTGCTAATGATCAGGTCAAAAGACCTGATCTGGGTCTTTTGAATCAGAGGGGGTGTTGGTGGGGAAGAGAATCCTACAGCCCAGACCTTACTGGTGCTTGCAATCTGATTTGCACTTCAGAGAGAAACAGACAGGAGAATGGAGAATGGGGAGAGAGAGAGAGAGAGAGATGTGGAAATGTGTAGGGAGGAGTTCTGAAACTGAGACACAGGAAAGAACATCAGTGTGGGTGATGAAGGGGTATGATGAGGACTTGCTAATTAAATGGGTACACACATTAATAAAAACTGAGGAGGCTTAGCACAGAACAGTAGGGGCTGTACGTTTTCTTGCAGTGTACAGACTGAATTCGGCTTCATCCATGCTTGGACTTAGGTAACAATCTTGTATAATTTCAGGATATTTTTACTGACATCCACTCATTTGGTGTAGGCTTAATCTCTACAAGAATTCAGCTCTTGTCTGGTGTATTATTTTGTTGTCTATCCCTGTAACTGAAGGATTTTTCTACAATGAAACCACTTACCTTTCATATATTTCCTGTCTTGTAGTGGTTAATGCTGCTTACTTTGTTTCAACTAGCTTACATTACAAAGGGAACAAACTTCAGCATCCACCATCTAACTTTATTTGCAATCTCTTTACTGTAAGTAGAACTAATGGCTTTTCTGCTCCGTGTGTGCGTGTGTGCATGTTGAATTGGTGTTTCAATCAGTCCTTCTGCATAGTGTAGGTAGAAAGTGGAAGACCTGCATGTAAACTTGGCACGCACCATTAATTTCTTTTGACTGGTTAGCCTATCAGCTGATGGTGTGCTTTACCTGAGGGCTGAAACAACTGAACATACCGTTAACTTTGCAAGAGATTTATTCCATCTATGCATCCAGCATTGGTGTAACAACTCAAAGAATTTATTGTTTCTGTCTCTAGTTAAAGTCTCTACTTAAAATTTTTCCTTTCTACAGATCAGTTTAAAGGTGGCAAATCTGGTTTAGCACAATCAAAGAGCTGCCTGGACCCTCAGGAATTAATAGAATTGCTGAAATCCAGAGACTATGAGAGGTATGCAGATTTTAATTTTTTTTGTTAACCATAATTTTATGTTACAGCTTGTGAGCAGCTGTCAATAGTTCTCTTACGAAGCGTTATGTTGATCTTAAGAGTGAAAAGAATGTTGTAGGGGTTCTGCTGTGTTGAGCACTGAGTTCTGTGCTACGTTTACATGCTTTCTTTTTTTTTTTTGTATTTCTTCCTCAACAGGGAGGTTAAGGGATCTAAAGAAAAAGTAATCAGTGATAAAGATCTTGAGTTACTCTTGGATAGAAGCGATCTTATTGGTAAGTCAGAATTCTCATCTATGTTAGACAATGAATTCCTGGTTTTGTGTTTGTTTTCTTTTATAAATGAACTTTATATCTAGAAAACTGTCGCAGCTTCACTTCCCTATGATTGTGTTGTATATGTGAAGACATGCTTTTAGTCCTTTGCTGACATTGCCAGTAGGATCTGCTGAAGATGATTTAAGCAGAAGTATTCCAGAGAAATTCATTCATGTGTAGTATTCCCTGAGCATAGTGTGAAGGAAAACCAGATGCTCTGCAAAGCAACTTTTCCTGCAAGTTGCTGAAATCGGTCAGAACGTAAATCATCCTCAGAAAAGGATTTCAGCAAATCAACTGGAAAATCGTAACTGAAACTGACAGTGCTTTTTAAAATTATGTTGCACTTCCAGTGGATACCTGTGAATGCAAACATTAGGAAAGCCTACACCATTGCATTTCAGAAAAGAATTTAGTGAAGCTCCTGAGAGAAGCTATATAGTTTCTTGAATTCTGTTTTCTTCTACGGAAGATAGGACTTCAGAGAAAGATTCTAAAACTGCTCATTTCCCACTGTTTTTTAAGACATACAGTGGAGTTTTTTCTTAAAGCACACAAATGGAAAATATTTTCAAGCACGAACTTCAGTTGCTGACTGTTTAGGAAGTAGCAGAATGATGTTCCTGATGATAAACTTGTTTTCCAAATCCAGATGAAAGAAATCCAGATGAAAGAAGAGTGCATTGAACTTTTTACTCTGCATTACTGTACTTGTAAAAGAAGGTTGCAAACAATTCACCTATCACTGTTATTTTGTTTTTTTTTTATTCTAGATCAAATGAAAACTTCTGAAACAAATAAAAAGGAAAAAATGGGTGTCTTCAAGGTCCTAGAAGAATCACCAGGTTCCAATGCAGAATGTGTCTTTTAAAAGTGCAGGTGGCCTGTAGTCTTATAGGACAAACATGTGACATCTGTAAGAGGCCAGTTTCAGTCATTACATGGACTGATCCTTCACCCTAATTCTTTATGGCCATTTTTCAAACCCCTCGGTTCTTTCAGTGAAATTTCTGCATTCTAAGGTGTAACATTTGATAGGTTCATGTTTGTAGTTTTGTTAGCCTATGATAAAGAATTGAAAAGACAAGCATTTCAGGTTTTCAGTTAGCTTTTGTGTTCAGTGGTAAAAACTGGCCAAGTTGTGTAAAATCTTCCTGTGGAAGTCCTAAAACACTTTTTTATATGGTGTTGAATATGATTTTATTGGGAAGGGAAAGAACATGTTGCAAAGAACTGTTAGCTCTTGGTTCTTGTCATTTTTTGTAATTTCTGCAAATTATTTTGATAAATAAATGTTTGGATTGTCTTAAGGGTTTCCTGGCTGAGGTTTATAAATAAGCACAGCTCACATGATGTCCATTATTCTTTCTGCACTCATGTAACCCAACTTCACACATATAAAAGAAATCCCAAGCTGCAGTCTTTTCTGGTGTAGAGGTCGGTTCTCTAGTGTCTGGCTTGTCAGCTTGCGCAGCCAGCGTGCCCCTTCAGAAGCACATAGGGGGAGCTATGGGGACTGGAAAGGGAAAAATGGAGATTTCTGTCTAGGGAGAACTTTCTGGGGAGAGTTTGAAACTTCAGTGGGTGCAGGTAAATAGATACATTATGCAAAATCCAAATCACTTGGAAGCTTGGTTTTATTCCACAGGTGACAGGAGTGGAAGTAGATAACAAAGCAGGCAAAGTATTTAATTTAGTCACTTTGTGAACATTTGTAGAAGAAGTCTTCTATATAAAAACAGGTTCAGTGTCAAAGGAGTGTTACTTTCTTGCAGGTATGAAATTCTTGCTGTCCTTAGAGCAGTCTGTTACCTTGAGTTGGAGAAAGTCATTTTATATTTGTGGCAGATCCTTATGGAAGTATGGGTAAACAAAACTCTGTTAATGAGTAGACTGACTTTGACCTTTGCCTACTGAAAGCCTTGTCTTCTAATTCTTCCTAAAAATGCGTAGGCTAGCATTAATGCTGAGGGTAGCGTAAGTGAATGAGAGTTGCTGTTCAGTAATGTGTTAGTGAGAGAGATTTGCTTTGTAGAGCTATGGTTCAAAAAAATCAGCCCACTTTCAGAAGGTGAAAACAGTGCAAGTTTTGCACTTACTGCTATAGTTGAATGTAATGCTTGTTGGTTAAAGCAAACAGTATCTTCTTGTCATGACCTTGCATTTCTTAATCCTCCAGTAAAGGAACGTTTTCTTACTTGTTATCCCTCTGAACTATGAAAGGACAATCCTCCCTGAACTTCAGAGAAGGCCAGAGTTGGTGCACTTAATGTCTAAAAGCAAAGTTGGAGGCCTTTTCTGGTGTTTTGGAAAGTGGCCTCATTTTTCACAGGTGCAGAAGTAAATTTGGGACTGAGAATGTAAGGATTCTTAGGCAAGGGTGGGGGCTGATTAAGGCTAACAGTTTTAAATTGTTTTGGAGGAAGTAATGACCACCAGCAGGAAAACTGCTTCAGCTTGATGGACAAATGCTTGAAACGTAGACTTGGAAGCTGTGCTCCTTGTCACATGCTGTGCCTAAACACACTCAGCTATTGTTCCTCCACTGAAGTGGTGGGGGAATGCTGGAGTTGTTAAGACCAAATGCAGGGGCAGAGGGCTGGGACCTCAGTGCATTTCTTACCATGGTGTGTCCATATGCAGAATTTAGGCCATGTCCATGAGGAGCAGCAGGGCACAAGCACCACCTGCTGCACCAGGAGAAAGGGTAGATGTTGCAGTGGCAGGGAGAGGACATAACCAAAATCCCAAGTAAGTCTGTGTTAAAAGTGAGTCTGCTTTGAGCCAAGCTGCACACCCATGTGAGCCAGGCCCTCTTTGGGAGGATGCTTGCTGAAACTGCCCTCACTCTCTTCAACTGGCTGAGTGAAAGTTTCTTATTTCAAACTTAGTTTTTTTTATCCTTCCTGAGTAGGCAGTTGAGCATTGTTGTGGACTTGACCCCACTTTTCCTCGTTTCTCATTGTTAACAAGCCTCAGATGCCAATTGCTAAACTCAAGGGGAATTTGTCAATTACAGTCAAAACTGCAGTTGCCAAATACTTTTTGCTTTGTAAAAAGCTAATGTGTTCCTTTTTTTTCAGTGGGCTGCAACAGCCAGAGCAAAGTCCTCCCTGAGCAATGAATGCAAATTGCCTTGGCGCGCCTGTTCCCATAGTAATAAATTGGATCAACACTGGTATCTGCATTGGAAGTCTCCACTTCCAGCACTGGGCCACAAACCTTTTGTAGTTCCCGGCTACTGCGTCAAGCCCCCCACAATCAGTGTTTTCCCAGCAGTACTGCCAGCCCCCACTGCAGGAGCTTGACTGGGTGATAAAGGGGCCGAGACAAAGTGAAACTTGTCTGTTTACAGCGAGGAGTTGGGGCTGGGGAAATACCAAGCGTGGCTCAGGCTGTTCTGTCCTGGCCCATTGCTGCAAGAGCTGAAGTTGGCTACATTTTGTTGGTGGGAGTTCTACAGTGTGGAAAGATTTCGTGACTGTACCAGGCCCCAGTTCTTGGTGTCACTGCAACACAGATCGAGCATTGGGGCCAGCATTTCCTCCCTGCTCTACAAACACAGGTGGGGGGCCAGGAGCCCACTGAGAAAGTAGGGAGTGTGCAGTGTCTGGGGCAACTGCAGCTGGACAGCCCCAGTTACTACAGGGGATGGGGAACTGCTGCCAGCTACTAGCAGGGTTAGACAGTGGATCAGAGGCTCCTCCCTGCACTGGCAGAAGTTAATTGAACACTCAAATGGCCTTGAAAAGTAACATGTATTTCACAGAAAAATGAGAAGTTTGTGATTGCCTTTTTTTTATAACCCCAAAACAACCACCTATATGACAAACCCTTCCTGACCCACTGAAACCTGTTGCCCAAAGCCTTCCGTGGGACCTGAGCCAACCTCCTGTGCTCTTACCAAACATGTGACCAGCATATTCTTAGTGAACATGAGGGTGATGCCCTGCTCTTACCTGCCAACAGCATCTGGGAGGGCGATGCTACGACTGACCAGGCTCCAGCCCAGCCTGCAGGTGCTGGATAGTGCTGCAGCAGGGAGATTATCACCCTGGGAAAGCATGTTGAGGGGAGGGGAGTAACATCAGTGAGAAGGGGGGTATCATACAAGCAGGCCAGGAAAAAAAAAATTACAATCTCACTTCAGAAATAAAACTACCTGCAGCAGGAGCTGGAAAGTGTATGTATGTGTGCATGTGAGTGGCCTGAGCAAGCTTGGCTTTCCGTAGGTAGGAGCTAGACAAGAATGCCAGCTGAGCTACTGTAATAGCACTCTCTTGTTCATAGAAGGAGCTGAGAAGAGGAGCTAAATACAGTTAGGTTTGTGCATTAAAGCTTTTCAGTGGGAGACAGACTTAAGCATTAGCTCAGCCTTACTCCCAGTGAGATTTGGGATGTTTTAAGGGATTGCACAGGGAAGCAATATAGTTGTGGGGTCCCATGGGATCTGGCCTTTGCCCCATCCCAGCCTGCAATCACTGCTTGTTGCCTGAGACCATTGTGTGCTACTTGGTGATTCCATCCTGCTGCTCTCCAGGGCAGCACCACCACACACAGGGGACCCAGAAGCCCCAGTCAAGGAGAAAGCGGACACTTGCCTGTTGGAGTCACCCTATTTATTGAATGTGAACAGAAAGCAAACAACTGGGATACAGGTGAGCTGTGATCTGACTTTGGCCTCTGCCATGCCTGTGCACTTGGCAGCACAAGGAAGGGAAAAAATAATAATCTGTGTATTAAAAAAAAAAGAGAGAAACAACAGTGAAAGAAAAAAGAATGTTGAATGATTAGTGACACCTTGTGTGTACAGACGGAACTTTCACGTGGCAAGGAAATTCACAGCCGTGTCTAGCATTCCTTATTGCGAAGGAGAGTCGGCAAGGGGCAGGGCAACACTTTCCCTGAAGAGCAGCAGGAGAGGAGCAATCCAAGCTGACTCCACTGCAGCACAGGCTACTTAGGGAAGACAGTGACCACCTCGTAGCCCTCTGGGGGCACCACTCGCTCCCGTGCGTGCTTCTCACAGTAGATTTGATCTTCCACGAAGAAATGTCCTTTCTGCTTGAGGTTGGTGCCGCAGTCACTGCACACGTAGCACTCAGGGTGACGCTGCTTGTCCCGAATCTTCACAAACACCCCTCTGGGGAAGGAACCAGCACTCAGCACCAGCTGTCTGCCAATACAGCCCCCAGTCCAGCATCTCACCATCCCCCCTCCACCTCAGTCTCCCCCTGGTGGATCATTTCCCCTCAACATAGGTCTCACCTCTGCCCAGGTGCTGACAGCACAGAAGAGCAATAGGAAGCCTCCTCTGGAAAGCATGTTCTAGCAAGGACCTCAATTCCACAGGGACAGGTCCTAGTGCTTGTGCTAGCAAGAAGCACTGCAATAGCAGCAATAGGCAAAAGCAGAAGGCAGGTAACAGCCTTCAAACACCCAGGGAGAAAAAAACAGGATCAGCTTGACCATCAGGTGGGGTGTAAGCTCCAGGTACGTCCCAAACAACCAGGTTTTAGACCACATGTTGAAGTGACTGCCACCACCACCAGAGAGGCACAGCCAGCCACTGCCCTCTGCTAAGGACTGCCTGCTCAGAGCAGGGGCACAAGCCAACCAGATCCTGACTGGTCTCAGACTCGCTGTCCCACTCAGCATGGACAAGCTCTGGCTTCCCAGACTGACCCAACAAATCTAAGAAGAACTACACAGCAACTTGCAAACTACCAGCAACAGCAGCACAAGTTGCCAGCAGCATTTGTTCCATCAGCCATCTAGATTTTTCATCATTCTTTACTTTTTAAAGCTGGTCATAGTCCTGTGCTTTCACTCCAGCTGTACGTGGCTGGCACAGTAATTGTATGATTTGTCTCTGATTCACATTTATAGCCTATGGATTGCTTCTGCAACAACTGTGATAGTCCTTGGAGATGGAGGCATGCCAGGCCCATGCAACTGCAGTGTGCTCCGTCTCACAGTAGCACAACACTGCAGCTGACAAAGCTGAACTCCTCCATAACAATGCAGGTGGGCATCCAGCATTCACCCCTGGAGCTAAGTAGGTTGCAGTAAGTGAAGGCTAAGTAGGAAATGAGAGCAGAGGAAAATGTGGCTGAAAGCCTAGAGAGTATATCAGAGATAGAGGTTGGTTGTGCTGTCACAGCAGCTCTGTGCTAGAAGTCAGACATACCCCACAAAACCAACAAACATTAACTGCATAGATCCATTGGGAGATGTGTGGTACTGCGTTGGCACAGGAGCAGAAGGCAGCTCTCCAAGCTCACTGCACCCAGCTGCCAGGGCAGGACACCGCTCCATGGCTGGGAGCAATAGGACATGAAAATCATTAAACACATTGGCCTCAAATGGAAAGTTCACTTTACCTCTAAGTGCTATTAACAGATTTCTGGTAGGAAGCAAAACAACAGCACTGAGGCTGTCTCAAAGGGATTTGCTTTGACATGGAACGGTAGAGGGAAACCCAATTCCTGCCTCGCTGCCGAATTTACAGGGTGAGCACTACCAAAGCTGGTGAGAACACACATGCTGGGCTGGACCCTGGGTGCACAGGCACAGGTTGCTTGCCTTGGGGACAGGCTTACTTACACAATGCCAGATCCACACTTGTCACACATGGGCAGCTTCTGGGCATTCCCAATCGATGAGGCCACCTTTGTGGTGGGAGCCTTGACGCTCCTAAATCCAGATGGTTTGCTGGGATCTCCTGGGGGTGGAAGGAGAGTGCTTCAGAGCATGTGAGATGCGTGACTCCAGGCTTCTCCCAAGCAGATGCTCTGCTAGGGAGGGGTGATGTCCTTCAACATCAGCTTTGAGGCAAAAATTCATGCATGGGAAGGAGGAAGGGACTTAGGGTGTGCAGGGAGTGGTGTGAGAAGGGACACAGCTGATCCTGGCTCTGGAAACCCAGGGCCTGAGACAGTGGGCCCTAAGATGAGATACTGCCCTTTCTCATCTTAAAAGCCCATCAGATATTGGCTAACACATCTCGCATGCACAGAGATTCGAAGCAAAAGCAAAGTCTCAGCCTCAGAAGCATCAGAGCCTGCTTGCCGTGTTCTGAGCACACACTCAAGCCAATGGCTAGATTTGGGTTCAGAAAGAGGAAGTGGGTGTCCCAGCAGTCAGTAAGGCCTTCAAAGCCTTTTCCTCTCCGCTGTCTGGTGTAGAGTGTTGTGCTCCCCTCACAGCTCCTTGGTTAACTCCTTGTTGCAGGGATATGGAGCATGTGGCACACTCCAGGGGCGAAAATACCTCCCAATTGCAGGACTTTCAAAGAAGACATCTGGATGCCTACAAAAGTAGTGGATCCTAGATGCTGGATAGGAGGCAAGCCTTTAAATATCTGCAGTCAAAAGGAAACCTCTAACAAAATGATACCATTGATACAACTAGCATTATCTATGTGACTTTCACCTGTACCAGGCAAGAGCAGAAGAAGGGATGCAGATTCCCACAATGTCACAAAAGGACAGAGGAGGCTGTTGAGCAGACATGTCAGCCTCCCCCAGTGAAGTGGCGCGAAACCCTTCTGACTATTGCCAAGCCAAAGTACACCCACTGATCCTTTTGGAGTGGAAAAAGAATCCTGGAGAGGCTCACCCCAGTGAACAGCAAGGTCTGAGACATTTCACAACCCAGGGCAGCACCACTGGCAGAGAATCAAGGGAAAAAGCTGGGGCACTGCCCACCCCACCTCACTGTCACCCAGCCTAAGTGCCACTGCATTGCCTTACCAGCCACAAACAGTGCACCCCACGTTGAGCTTACAGCTGTTTCTCCTTCACAGCAGCATTTGGCTCAGGGGCTTGCACTAGCTCAGTGCTGAGTGTGAGGTGCCCTAATGGGGACAGAAGCCCGTGGACCCTTCAATCACACCAGGAGGCACCTGGCTGCTACCTCCATCGCTGGCAGCGATCCTTGCTGAGAAGGAAGAAGCAACCACATTTTCAGGTTCTACCCTATCCCCCTGCTTGCTCCTGCTTTGAACAGCACTTTGTCCACATTAGTAACACTGATGGCACATTTTTCAATCTCTAAAGGAATTGGCTTAACAAAATGCCTGAGGAAACATAACTTGTTCCACTCTCTGAAACACCCTAAGCCTCAGCATGCAGACTCAAGTCTAAACAGAGAGCAGCCACGATGCTTCCCCACACCAGCAGCCACACACAGATCCCATCCTTTCAGCTGGTGTGGATCAGCATAGTCCATGCCTCTGGCAACGCTGCAAGGACTGGTCCTGGCTGGGAGATGACAGCTCTCTGCTGCTGCTCACAAGCCAATGCCTGAAGACAAGCTCAGAGGAGCATCCCACAGAAGGTGCCACTTATTGCCAAGGATGCTATCTCAGCCAGGAACAGTAGTGTGTGAGCCAGGGCACCATCTCCTCTGGGGCTGCATAACCTTGCTGTGTATGGGTGATTACAGCTCACAGCAGAGCAATACCCAAGCCTATCCTGGCCTGTGATCAAGCAGGCAAACCTCATGCCAGAGAATCCCAGTAATGCTGCAAATCTTCAAAGACTGATAAACTAGAGAGGCTTTTGCTTATCTTCTTCAGCACTACTAAGCACAGAGGGGGACCTTGGATGCGTGAGAAGTCCTGGCTCCTCCAGTCCCTTCCACGCAGGAGTTGAACCCTGGGAGGTAAGCTGCAAACACTCATTATTAAGATCCTTTCAGATAGAAATTTTAACAGTAAAGACTCAAAAATCCTATTTTCTCTTTTCCTATTGTTTCCTTACTTCCTTCATTTTACTGTTCCCTTACAGATCACTTAGGTCTAACAGCATTTGGCTGAGCTGTTTTCCTTTCTGATATCTCAGCACCACGCTTTTGTTGGATGAAATTGAATACTCTACTGCAAGCCATTAACACAACAGATGAAGTCTCAACTGGTTTAAGAAGGGGAAAAAAAAACCTCATTCCTGGAATTCTTTCCCTAATTATTTGTTTATTTTACTCTATTTAAAGGGAGAAGGGAGTATGATTTGGCTCCCACCTAAGTTAATCAGAGTTTTTATCTAGAAGCCTATAGCCTTGAACTACATGCTGTCCAGATGTCAGATTATGAGCGCCAAGCAGCACAAGATTTTCACAGGTCTAAAACTGCAAACTGATTGCTGTAACCTTGCTTCCAAATTTTTTATATTCAGTAGCAGAAGATCCTTTTTTCTCCTGTCAAAGGATGGCACCCAGAAACATTAAGATTCACTAAAGAATACTATCTTGTATTACCTGTTGTCATAAATCTAAGATGGTCCTTAAATTGGTAAATATTTTCCAATAAGGGCAAAACTTGGGACAGTCTGGAAGGCTTTTGCAACTTCTAGAATTCCTTAAGAACTAAATGCAGCAGGGTTTTATTTCTTGAGCATTCAGTCAAT